GTTCATGAAGCGCCTGTTTGGAGGTGGGATATGGGGTACGAGCCTTGAAGCAAATTTCCTTCTCATCTCAGTAAACCCCAGGTGTTATGTGAACAAGAGCGTTCACTGATAAGGGGAGAGTATCTAAGTTGATGGTTGCTTGAGATGCCACTCAAGGGTGGGTATTGGCTGGCGTTGATGTTTGGACGGAGATGGGAGTCACCGGGTGCTGGTCTCTGTATTTGGAACAACTAAAAAAATTGGTCCCATTTTTATATTAAAAAGGGTAAAAAGACAAAAATACCCCTGATTTAACATAATGTTTTAACGACTGTTAGACGTAGGGACCAAATCCAGTCATTTTTGCATACCACAATGGCCATCTTGTTGTTTCAAATCGTAGGGACCAAAAGTGTTATGAATAACGAACCATAGGGACCAAATTTCTAGTTTGCTCCAATTATTATATCGGGTATAAAAGTCAAGAAAATATATAATAAACTAATATATATGTCATTCCATACCAACTTCAAGGTAAAAATCAAAATTTGTGTACAAGAACTCAATGATAAGTTCTTATACGAACCTCTTTTTTATGGGTCCAATGATTTTTTCAACACCAATAATTATTATATATAAATATTTATAAAGTCAAGAAAATAAAATAAAATAAAAATTAAGGAGAATGTCACTTCTCACAAACTTCTGATAAGAACCATAGTTCTTGTTCAAACACCTAGAGGTCATGAGGTTTCTATAAAAACCTCTCCGTAATGGTAATTCTTACCAGGCCCATGAATCTCAATGACCAAAAAAGTAATAAAATTTAACAATTTATTCAAAAACAAAGATAGTCGTTAACCGATTTAGTATCTTACATATTAAAAAAAAATAGAATTAAGAGTATCCGTGATGAAGGTTTTTATAAGAGCGTTTTCAACTGATATGATATATTTTTTTCCTTTTAAATTTGGAGATTTCTTCATTCTCTTTTTTCTTTCTCTCTTTCAGAGAAAAGTTTAACATATTTGTTAGAGCAATTTTTTTTTTCTGAATAATCTCCAAAATTGCTAAAATAATATAATTGTTGGAGATGTGTAAGACCTGTGTTTTATGGGTGTCACTTTTAAAATTGATGTGTTTTTATGAGCCATTGGAGGTCATACCTTGAGTAATTTTCATTTGATCATAAGAGCTTGTGGTATGGGTGGGTTCTGGTAGAGAAAAATGGCACTGGGAATGAAACAGAAAATCCCGGTACTTATCCAGCTATTAGGTCACGGGAAAAGTCACGCAACTCTCTGTTTCAGCAAAACAACTTTGTGGACACGGACAACTTTTCGCGAGAACACCTAGATCGGGATAAAACCCCATTTTTGAGTTAGGATTTGCTTGTTCTTCAACCACTCAAGTTCTCTCTCGATTTTGGGTCTTCTTGGAGTTCATTTTAGAGATTTTAGGTGTTCTTTAGAAGCAAGAGAAACCTTGGGTGTAGAGGATTGAAGTCACCATTTTAGAGCTTTCGGTTGAGAGATTCAAGCTCTTAAAGAGGTAAGTTCATTGAGTATTTTGAGCTCTATTTGTGGAGATTCTTTATGGATTTAAAGCTAGTAGTAATGTTTAGAACATTTCTAGACATAGATTGTGGTCTTGAGAAGATTCTTGAAGATCATTGCTTTTGG